TTGTCGTCCCTTAAAAGATCTCTTGTTTTAAAGAAGATCTCTTGATTTAAAGAAGTTATCTTGAATATTTCTTAATTTAAAGAATATCTCTTGATTCCTTAAGAAAGTGAATCCGTCCATGATCTTGTGAATCTGTTCATGATCTCTTCATATATTTAATATCCTCTTTTCGAAAGATATGATCGAATTCTCTTGACTTATAAGACACTTTAGTGCACGTTTTTCATAAGGTGTAAGACAAATTGTTGACTGCCTCTCCTTTTGGTTTAATAGGCTCAATTTCCATCTTCTAAGGCCTTCCAATTTCAACCCAATGTCTTCTTCTTCATGGATCCATCCCTTGACATAGACTTGAAAATCTCTCTTAAGTTTATTGGTCCAAGATATAGTGATATTCCATCCATATAGCCCAAGTACACCTTGAAGTGGATCCATCATATGCTTCTCTCCATATGGACTTGGTTTAGCTTGAATTGGATCTTTTCTTTTATTTAAATGGACTAAGCCGTGAGGCTCCTTTCTTGTATGGACCTTGCCATATCTTCCATGCTTTATGAGACCTAAATCATGGCCTCCAAGTGTTGAAGGGTCCAAGCTATGATCTCCTTGACTTGGTTGGTTTTTTTGAATAGTTCAAGTTGTTTTTTTTTAAATAGTCCAAGTTGTTTGTGCTCACATCAAGTATAGACCTTGGACCCATGGGATTATATTCCTTCAAAGCCTTCTTTCAATACATCAAACAAAACCCCAATTGTTTCCATCTTCCTTTTGCCAGTGTATTTTAGAAAGTTAGGATTCCTTAAAAGTAAAGATGTTTGTGTGAACTGCTACTCTGAATAGGCTCAATATTAATGAGTTGCTGCAAATACATTGGCATAATCAAGCAATTCCACTAGACGTTCATACTATATGTCATCAAACTGAGGAGTCAAATAACCATTTGTTTTTATAGTGCAATATGGGATGGGAGAAAGTTATTTGGAATTTTTATGTTAGTTTGGATTATTCCTCCCACCCTTAATGGAATGTTTTGTGAGTTAAAATCTTTAGACTTAAGGTGAGAAGGAAGCAAAACATATTCGCCTCTTGGCAAGATTGTGGACAATATGGTTAGAAGCAAAGGACTTCTGAATATTGTTCCTCTCCTAATCAAGATATGTGGGAGAGGATGACATTTTGGCTTCTCTTTGGGCGAAGGCATGGGAATTTCTAGAGAGTTTAGACCTATAAGCCTGGTGGGATGTTTCTACAAACTCATTGCAAAGGTGTTAGCAAGAAGGATATCAAAGGTGCTTAGTGAGGTCAATGGGGAATGTCAACATGCATTTGTTGGTGGGAGACAAATTCTCTTTTTTTGAAATAAAAGTAATGCAGTATTATTAATAAAGTACCGAGTAGGTATACCCATATACAAGTGATTACAAGTCAATCAAAATGTCAAAGACAGCTCTAAAATCCTCGAGCTTTTTAATATCATGACCCAAAAGTATAGAAGCAAAAGAGTGGATCCAAGTATCTCTAATAGCAGTAAACTCTTTCTCAATACCCTCAAAAGTTCTCAAGTTTCTTTCCTTCCAAACTACCCAAAAAATAGAAAGTGGAATTAACAGTAACAATTTGGGAGACAAATTCTCGATGCAATGATGGCGGCATATCAAACGAGTGACGATTTATTAGTTGAGAAAGGGATGGGTTATTATGTAAACTTAATATGGAGAAAGCATATGACAATGTAAATTGGAGTTTTGTGGAGTATATGCTATGTGATTGGGTTTTAGTTAATGGAGGTCTTTCAAATTTCTTTTAGGCTTCAAAAAGTTTAAGACAAGGGGACCTTTATCCCCTCTTTTATTTATAATTGTTATGGAAGGTCTCAAGAGGCTGTTGGGTAGGGCTACTAATTTGAATATGATGAGGGGTGTTTTGGTGAGAAGAAAAGATTCTTTGAGTGTGTCACATTTATTCTTTGCCAATGATACATTAATCTTCTGTCAACCGGACTTGAGGAATCTTCTACATTTGCACTGTGTACTAGTGTGCTTCCAAGCTGTATCGGGACTTAAAATCAATCTAAATAAATTTGAAATGGCTAGAATTGGTGGCAATATTGAAGCTGCGATATTTGCTAGAGTTTTGGGATGCAAAGAAGGCAAATTCCCCTTCAAATACCTGGGGGTTCCGTTAAGTGCCAAATACAAGAATCTTCTTACTTGGGAACTGGTGATTGAATTGTTTGAAAAAAGACTTGCGGGATGGAAGATGAATTTTCTTTCTAAAGGAGGTAGGTAATCAAAAACACTTTTGTTAACCTCCCGATTTACTACCTCTCTACTATTACTATTCCCGTGAAAGTTGCAAAGAAGTTAGAAGCAATGCAAAGTAGATTCTTATGGGGTGATGAAGATGGGGCCCGTAAATATCGCTTGGTGAAATGGGAGGATGTCAAAAAACCGGTAATCTATGGTGGCTTGGGAATAAAATCTTTGACTAAAATGAATGAGGCTCTGCAATGGCTGTGGACGTTTTTAGGGTTGGAATGAAGATTATGGAGAAATATTGTGAACGCTAGATGGGGTCATTACATGTCAAAAAAGGAAATTAATAGAATACATATCCCTCATGGGAGAGGTTTGCGGAGGAAAATTGTGAGGCAATGGCCTAGTTTCCAGCAATGCATTAAATGGAATCTTGGCAGAGGGAATAAAATTAATTTTTGGGAAGATGACTGGCTAGAAGTGGGCTGTCTTATTCGCAAATTCCCCAGGATTTACAATCTGGCACAATTGGAGAAAATGACTGTTGAGGAGGCATATCAGATTAACAGGGAGAAAGTTGAACGGACAATTAACGCCACAAGGAACTTGAATGATTGGGAAATCAGCAAGTATGACGATCTATTGAGGATATTGGATTCACTGCAGGTGAAGGCCGCGGCTGACCAGGCTGTGTGGAAATTGGAAAAGAAAGAGGTTTTTACTCTGAGATCCTACTACAGATTCTTGAATGCAAGGGATGATCATGTTTATTTGAATTTCCCGGCTGCTCAAATATAGAATACGAAAGCTCTTCCATGTGCTGCTTTTTTTGCTTGGGAAGCATGTTGGGAGAAAATCTTAACTATTGATAATCTTAGAGCTAGAGGTAGAATTCTGGTCAATGATTGCTATTGCTGTCTGCGGGCAGAGAAACTTGTAGCCATCTCTGTTGTGGTGTCCCACCATTTATAATATTTGGTGTATGGTGTATGGTGTATGGTCTTTTGGGGATTAATTGGGTGATGGCTGTGTTGGTTATAGATGAAATTTGGGCTTGGGATGGATTATGTATTAAAAGAAACATTGTAAATCTTATCCCGTTGATTGTTTTTTGGGTTATTGGGAAAGAAAGAAATTCTCGTGCTTTTGAGGGTGTTGAGAGTAGTATATCTGATTTGAGAGATAGGTGGATTCACTATT